GAAGTTGAGTAACTGTCTAGAACCAGCTTTGCCTGCTCTGCACTTGAAAACAGCAATAACCTACTTAACAAGGGTTTAGTTTGTAGCCCTAGATCCTTAGTGAGTTGCTGTGAAACTTTTGTTGGCCCAGATCTTTCTGAGCCTCTGTTTCCTCCTCTGTAAGGTGGGGATGATGACACCTGTACTCCCTATTGTAGTGAGTCTCTATGGAGAACTGATGAAAAATATATAAACAGCTGTATTAAAGGCTAGTGAAAAGTTATACAGATGACAATCTTCAAGTTAAGGAAGTCTTCCAGCCGTAGAGAAGTCCATAAGAAAAACCCAAAAGTAATGACACTGTTGTGTGTACATAGGCCAAACATACTAGTTAGAAGAATGACAAATAGCTCCACAGAGCAACTTAGAATTTTCTAGAGGTAGGGGAAATGAGTTTTCCTGGAAGTACTTATTTTTTTGTTGTCATTAGTGTTTGCTTGTTTGCTTGTTTGTGGTACTGGAGATTGAACCCAGGGCCTCCACACTGAGCTACAACCCCAGTATGTCTTAGGTTCTTCATTTTGAGACAAGGTCTTGCTAAGTCCCTAAATGGGCCAAGCGGGGCACAAACTTGTGATTCTCTTATCTCTGCCAGGCTGGTTTTAGGAGCTGAATTGTGTCCCCTCAAAATTCACATTTTGAAGCCTTACTCTGGAGTGACTCAGAATGTGACTAAAACAGAAGGGAGGGAGTTAGGGTCTTTAAAGAGATGATTAGGTTAAAATTATGGCTTGGTACCAGCTGACTAGTGTCCTTCTAAGAGGAAATGTGGACACACAGAGACAGAAGAGATGCACATGCAGAAGAATGACCATGTGAGGACAGAGCAAAAAGATGGCCATCCCCAGGTCTAAGAGAGAACCCCAAACTTATTAACACCTTGATTTGGACTTCCAGCCCCCAAAACTGTGAGAAGTGGATTTCTATCGCATAAACCACTCTATCAATGGTACAAAATTTGCATATAACCTACTCACATCCTCCTTTTTTCTTTAAATCCCTAACACAATGTAAATGCTATGTTGATAAGTTGTTATACTGGGGTGTTTAAAGAGGAATAACAAGAAAAATGTCTGTACATGTTCAGTACAGAAACAATTATTTTTCTAACATTTTTATTCTGCAGCTTTTTGCATCTGGCTGTATTTCATTATGGTAGTCCTAGCAGGTAAACACAGCAGTATTAGGGTACATGGGTGCTTGGGCTCCTCCTTTGTACTCGTATAAAATACAGAATTTATCATCAATGACCTTTTATTTAATTATGGTCCATTATACCAATGGCTCTCTTACTAGGTTTGAGAGCAGGACCCACAAGCTCCATTTTTTGTATCTCCAGCACTTTGTATAATGCCTGGTGTGTGATAAGCAATACAAATTTTCTTTCTACTTTTGTTAATTATTTTACTGCACAAACATTACATGTGCATCCAATCCAAAAATATAGATCTATACTCATCATTTTAGTGATGGCTGCATTTCAATGACCATCGATTACTGTTTAATAACTATTCTATAACAGTACAGTGTAGACATTTATTACTGACAGTTGCTTTTAGAATAATCACATTCCCAAGAAAACTCCCAATACATTTTATATATTTGTGGATTAATTTGGGGAGAATCAGTATGTTAAGATATTACCACACAAGGGATATCTTCTCATTTATTAATGGCTATAAAATCTACTTTGTCTTTCGATTTTCATCAAACAAGCTATGAATATTTCTCATTAAATTTATTCTATGCATTTAAATTTTCTGTTTATTAGTAATATTTGTTATTAATTGTCTAAGTAGTTATTATTGGTCTGTAAGGAAGCAGTTAATTTGTATAATTATTTTGTAGCCTACCATTGTACTGAACTTCTCATCAATTTTAATAGTTTTAAAGTTGATTCCACTGGGTTTTCTGGTTAGGCAGTCATATTATTCACAGGTAAATATAATTTTATTTCTTTAAAATATTTATTTTTTTCTGTTTTTTATTGTATTGAACAGGAGCTATAGAACAATGTGGATAAATGGTGCTATATTTGGAACACCTTATCTTATTTCAGTATCTAGAATTTCTCCTACTTCTCGCCCTTTAAATTCAGGTTAATTTTCCTGTTGCAATAAGGAAGTTTTCTTTAATTGCCAATTCTTATTTTATAAAGAATAGATGTTACATTTTATCAGTTTACTTTTCATCAACTCCATACGAACTGTTACAGCTCAGGTTGACTTGTACTTTGACACTTGATAACTGTTAGGTATGACTACATGCCTTTGGCCAGCACAGACTCGTTAGATTAGTTCAAAATCTCGGCAAAATGTTTGTGATGGGAAGGTAAATTATATTTCTCCTTTAAGGGGATATATGAAAGAACTAGCTTGGGTTAGGGCCATACACAGCCCAAACTAACTATGGCAGTCCATGTGCTGTATATTATTGTCCAAAGTAAACAGCTATAGCATTATGTAGATTTACGCCTTTGATCTATTAATGGCCATACAACAGGGAACAAAGAAGAGTTTCTGTATAGGACAATGCCTGGACAGAAATACTACATGTATGTGTATAGAATAAATTAATTAGTAAAAAATATTTAGAGTGCAATGACCTTAAACATTTAAAAAAATTTTAAAGTTTTATATGTGTTAGTATGTAATGCTTACCTTCATTGTGGTATATTTGCAATACATAATAGTTATATTCATTTGGAGGAACTGGTGCATGCATATAATGTGTCTTGATCTTTGATCCCTTTACTTCCTCTCCCTTAATCCCTCCCTCCCTGATCCATCCCTCCTACATCCTAAAAAGTCTGTTTTCTTATTTCCTACCATGTCTCATTTATTTATTTGTTTATTTATTTATTTTATTTGTATTTTAGATTTCTTTCCTCTTTCAAATTTTTACTTTTATTAGTACTTTTTTTTTGTTTATTTGAGACAGGATCTCACTGTGTAGTTCAGGGCAGCTTTGAACTCAGGATGCAACCAAGACTGGCCTTGAACACTTGCTGCGATCCTCTTGCCTCAGCCTCCGGAGTGCTGGGATTATAGGCAAGCGCCACAATGCCTGGCTAGTATGTGCTTGCAGCACATAATGATTCCATTTTTGGAGGGGAGTGGTGCATGTACACAACACAGCGTAGCCCTTTTTACTTTCCACTCCCTTCCCCTCCCCCTATTCCCTTCATCGCTTGGTTTCCATCTCATTTACAAAAGATCTATCTCTGTTTCCCAGTACCTGTCTTTGGCTTCTTATATGAGAGAAACCACATAGTATTTTATTTTCTGTGTCTAGTTTGTTTCACTTAGCTTTATGCTCTCAAGTTCCATTCATTTTCCTGCAAATGGGTGTGACTTTTTTAGAGGTAATTCTTTTACAGTTTTTAAAATTTCTTTCAATTTTATTAGTCAGTCTTTTTGTTTCATAATTTACATTTGTTCTCTAAAAATATTTATTTTGCCAAGATTTTTAATTTTTAGCATGCTAATATCACAATTTTAAAAATTGCCATTATTAGGACAATCTGCACTAACTATTCTGCTATTATGATACTCTCATTTCTCTTCAGGTTGTATAAATCTTTCACCTTTTACTATTCTGCTGTTATGTTCAGTTAAATAGCTCTTTGAGGTTGCTTTTCCTTTTCAAATATCATTTCTAAGGGAGAGGCTCCCTAATTTACACTTTTCCTATCAATTTCTAAATTTAACTGTGGCCATAGATTGCAACCTGTATACTCTCTCTGCTTAACTGAGACTATGTTTGTGATTAATGTTCCCAGAGTGCAGGGCAGAGGGTGTATTTTCTATGGGATATACAGTGCAACGTACAAAGCTTCGGTCTTTATATAACATTTACTTCCTAAGGCTTCACTCCCACCCTCTTTTGTTGGCCAGCTTGATTAACAATGACAGGTGACTGGTGTGATGGAGACTAGTTGAGTGAAAGAAGGAAGGTATGATCGGATAAATTAATTAAGGGATACATAAAAATCAAAATACAAAAACCAACTATAAGACCCACAGGAACATTTTTAAAACTACTAGTGTCCAGCTTTCTAATATAGAATGAAGTCACCAATACTTAAAAACATATACTTATGATCCAATAGAAATGACATAGTAGTTTTTAAATTTACAAAAATAAAACATCACAGTAGTTGATAAGTTACTGACAGTCTAATTAAAATATACTTGCCTATCACAGAGAGTTAAAAGAAGGCAAGGTGAAAGAAACTGTGGCCCTGTCACACTACAATATGCTGCCTTAGATAAGCCCTTCTATTGAGATTACTCATTTGCTTATTTGAAAAGAAGTATGTAGGTTGTTATAAAAATGTTTCTAAAAGGGGCCGAAGACCTAAGTTCCCAGTGAGTTGGAGCTCATGTTTTGGAAGTAATCTGTATTGCCATTTATCTGAATTTGACATTATTCTATCTTAAAATATTTTATTTTTATATTCTTTTTCATTAGAATATGTTTGCAATACATAGTATTATTCATCTTAAGCAATATCAGATCTTCATCATTTTTATTTCCCTTTTCCCTCTCCATCTTCCTGTCTCCCTCTATCTCCAGATTCCCTTCACATCTCTACAAAGTCTAATATTTTAAAAAGAACAATAAATATTTAATAGTTTCTTTGGAGAAATGTATATCTGCCAAAGTTATTGCTTTTGACTTTTAAAAATGAAATGTCAATGTGCAAGCAGTATGTAGTATTACTGTGTAGTGATATTAAGATTAGCAAAATCATACTCAAAGGACCTTCATTTATTGCTATTTTTAACTAAAATTGTATTTTACTATTCACATCTGCCAGAAATGCCAAGAATAGATAAAGATGCAATTTCCAGTTGTAACTAAAAGCATATAACATAGAAAACAAAGCAAAAGCTGATACTTCAATAAGTCAAAACAGAGATGGAAGAATATGTACAACTGTAGCTCCAGATTCTTACCTTTGGTGGTTTAAGTAATACAGTATATCTGTGTCTTCAAGAGTGGGAATCAGTGGTATCTGGACACGTATACACTGAAAATCTTGACATTGTCAAAATCCAGGTCCAAATTTCTTTAAAACAGTAAATATGCTGATCTTTTTTCTTTCCTTAAACATGTACGCATCACTAGTTTTACTACTCATTCCGAGGGAAAGAAGCACTTCTGTGGCATTGACAAAGGAGGATTTCCACGACTCAGTATTGGATTTGCGGATTTGTATGTGGATGAAAATAACAGCAACGAAATCATCACTATCCTTTGCTTGAACCCGAGCTTATTAATATGTATGAGCATGACAGATAAAAAGGGATTTCTCAAGCCACATCTCTTAATAAATTTGAAAGTAGAGCAAAGGTAACATTACCTGATGAATTTTATTACACTGTCAGTATTTCCAAAGGTTACAGTCTTTTAAACAATTATCTATGTCTACAATGTGTGAGGAAAATTTTCAAATATGATGCAATCATATTAAACAGTATTAAAATAGAAATAGGGTGCATTTAGTTTGTCATTGATATTTTAATTGTGTATTTTGTAGCAGAAGTGCATGTTTAAAACATATTGGTCGAGACATAAAATAAAATGAGGTTGAATTTGCCGAAAGAATAATTCATACTTCAAGGAACAGAAACCATCATATATACCAGTTAGCATTTAATGACCTAAAATTAATTTTCCTTAGAATATTTAGTGCAATATTTCATAGACTACAGACTCAAGACTTTTGCTAATGGAGAAAAGTCAAAATAACATGTAATAAATGCTGTTCTTTTATCAAAATTGCTTGTATTTCCATCTATCAACTCCAGAAATACATCATTCTTTTGTAATTGTCTTAGCCAGTGGACAACTAAGTATCATCTATTACCTCAGTTAAATGGTTTCCTAGTGGGATAGAAGGATCTCTAAGGAAGAAATGCACCAAGGCTCCTGGAGAAGAAAAGGCGAGAGCTATTGAGTACATTAGGAAAGTCAGCTTTTTAGATCTTAGAATTTTAAAAATAATTTTCTGTTTCTAATGATGAAACATGGTTCATAAAGTTTTGGTATTAGGAAAATGAAAATAAAACTGAAGCCTATTCTAATCAATTTAACCATCAACATTAACATTTTTATTGTAACTACCATTGTGTATTTTTTAAATTGAAATCATTTTGGTTGTTATTTAATGTAAATATTATATTACTAGGTAACTAAAGCATCCTTTTAAAAGTGACATTAATATTTTGTCATATTCTAGTATTTAATTTATTCATTGATTTCTTCCTTTGCTCCAGAGGATTTCAAAATGAATGTTTTTGTTCCAAAATTATTATATCTGTGGTCATTTGGATGATTTCCAAAATTATTTAGATGATGTTCCAAAATTATTATATCTGTGGTCATTTAGGTAATTTTGTTAGAAATTCCAAAATTATTATATCTGTGGTCATTTAGTGTTTTGTTAGAAATGAAATTACCACACAGAAGTGTATTATCATTTCTGATGCTAAAACTTACCAGTATACCTCCCAGAGAACCCACACTTTTTGTTAGAATTTATAAATTTAAATCATGATTCTTATTTTATTACTTTCTTTCAACTCACAGATCAATCAACATTTTATCAAATATGCCCCTTTTGTTTAATCTTTTGCAATCTTGTACTTAAACACACACCCTTTAATCAGTTGGTATGAATGTTTTTAAGAAATCCACTTCATTTATGTCACAATTTAGCTTTATGCTACAATGTTGTTCTATCAGTACCTTTATATTATGCTCCTCTCTAAGAAAAGCTACATAATCTACTTAGGAAAATAAGCCCCTTAACTTGAATTAACACAGCAATGTCTTTTAAACTTACCTCTATAAAATCAATTGTAAACATTAGAAAAGCATGAAATGGTAATAAACATTAAGAGTACCTAATGTAAAATAAATGAATAGACATACTTAAAGAAATCCTTTACTTTCCTCAGGGCTAAATCACTATTCTAAATCCTAAAACAATCTAGTAAAGAGCATACAGTATCTACTTCATTTTATGGGGGAGGAAATGAAATCTGCAAGATAAAATAATTTACCCAGGGTCACAATGCTTGGTACTGTGTCAGTTGAACGCGCAGCCAGGTATGTTTGCTAGGTTTAGCAAAATCAATCAATCATCTCAAATATTGCATGAGTCAAAATCATACCAAAAAAAGTTTATATGAAATTCAACTGGACATTCTGTTTATATGAAATTAACTGGATATTCTGTTTTTTTATCTGATGTCCCTAATGACCTACTGACCTTTGTTTGACTCCAGAGTACCATAATGCTTTTGTCACCAGAAAAGTAAAAGCATGAAAAACTAAGTTAGGTCACCTATTTCGGCAGTATGTCTCCAACAATGATAGCAAAGAATATTGAATTGCCTAGCATGTATAATGCTCTGGGCTTGATCCCTAGCACATATATATATATTAAAATACCCACAGTGATTCATCTATAAATTGAATATATCTATAAATCCTTTAGCATATTGTCTGAACATAAATACAAAAAAAATTGTAATTGCTACTTTTCATAATATTATTATGTCCCTCACGTGTAAGCAATTTTCTCCTCAAAATATTTTAATGTTTCTTAATCACCCAATCTGAATCTACCATTCAAGAAAATACTCAGATGCGCTGTGGACTTCCTCAATGTTTTCTGCTTGATGCTCCTTCTTGGGGACTCAGGGTTTTCAGAAACCTCCCACCAGCTGTCAAAAGTGCAAGACCCTTTTGTTAATGGGTCCAGTGTTCACTTTTCCTCAGCCTCTTATTGCCCACTTTTGGGAGTTTTCTGCAATGCTGTGCTGATTTTAACACAGAAGTCTCAGAGTCGGGGACCTGGGTTTGAAGCTCCCGCGTTCACCAGCCCTGGGATTTGGGGTGTGACAATGCACTTTTGGAGTCTCAGTTTCCATTTCTTGGTCTCATGGAAAGGGCATGATAATATCTTAACATTTTATTATGAGGCGTAAATAAGGTATAATAATATGAAAATTTATCATAGTTCCTAAAGCACAATAAATACTCACTAAGTGGCTACTATAATTTTTAAAAGACAAATGTCAAAGTAAACCATTTTTATATTAGTTATATTATTATAAATTTGCCTTGTTTCTGTTTAAAATTAGAAATAAGTGTTCTGGCTAAGAAATACACTTGAGGTGTGTAGAGCAATTTTTTGTAGTTTCTACCTCACATGTGACAGTTATGACTAAAATAGACTTAAAAATTTTTTGAAAGACAAGATTGGAAATTTGTTTCCATATGTAGTTGTGGGACGTTCATTTTCTCTTGATTTGCCTGACATTTGAAACTTTAAAAAAAAGTTTTATTTTTATTTGAATTTGTTAGGAGTACATAATAATTACATTCATTGAAGGGAGTTAGTACATGTACACACACATAAACATGATTTTAATTAGTTAAATTAAATGGTTAGTGACATAATTCTAGCAAACCTTTCTTCCGCCTCCCAAGTTAACTGCTAGGGGCCGTGGTGAAACTTCATAAAACTTCTCGTTATAAAGCAGCTCTTCCCCAATGAATCACACACACAGACACACAAAGAAACGCTTTACATATTCAGAATGACTCATTTGTTTTATTTCAGACACTTCATCCTTTACTAGCTCTCATACTTCCTTTCAGAAACTTTCCCCCTCCAAAACTAAATTAATTCAGGATGAATCAAATATTACTGATCTTTGGAAAATGAGTTAGTTGTATGGTCTTGAGAAAATTATGCAACCTTTCTGACACTGTTTCCTTATCTGTTAAATAAAAATACAGTTCCTCTGTTAAGTTTCTATGGGGATAAACAGAGCAAGATGATAGCATGTCACACGTTCAGTATGTAGTTGTAAGGGAAAGCTTAGTACATAGGGTCCCTCTGCCTTTCCCTCCCCTCAGAGTTCTTGGACAGCACCTAAACTGGCACCTGGCAGCCTGTTGATGAAATGGGGTGACACAAAACTGAGAGGCCACACACAAGAAGCCCTAAAATGTTTTAGAGGAAAGGAACAAGGAGATTTGGGGGAGAGGGACAGGAATTGTTTTTTGTTGAAATTGAAAGTAGGAATTTTGTAAAACATACATATTAGGGTATTTTTCCAGTTTACACAAGTTTAAAAGGGTGAGCGTCTTGTTTTTGTTTAGTTTCCCCTCCAAAGTATGATAGCTTGACCCAATCTGCCTATCACTCATTTCCTTTTCCTGGGACCTATGTAACCTTGACTGACAGAAAGAACATAGCTATGCTGGATTATCTATTTAATACGCTACTTTTAATCAGGTTCCCTGTCTTGCTTTGTCAGCTCCCTCTAAATCTTTGTAATCTTATTTGAAGCACCTCTAACTATAGATGCTCATTTGCATGACATTTATTCTTTGTATTTTCTTTGCAAAAATTATGTGATTTGAGAGATTTTTACTCTTAGCCCTGAATTATTAAATATTTAATTGTCTTCCAGCACACAAAGACCTTCAGCCAGAGTGCTCAATAGCAACTTCTCAGTGTTTATAACCATAATAATTGAACATTATATAATTGTTCAATGCCTGCCTTCCCTGTAAGAATGTATCCATGTTGTCTATTAGTTGTCTGTTACTGTATCTGTAGTGTATGGCTCCATGTCATGCATACTTATTCATTCAAAATATATTTAAGTACCTGGAATTCTAAGAATTGGTAAACCAACAATTAACAAAACTAAGCTGTTGCCCTCACTAAATTTACTGTATATTCTAACGGGGTGAAAAAGATAAATGAATCAAGTCATAAACATATAAGAAGTCAGTGGTAATGAGAAAGAAAACAAGGTAAAGGGATAGAGAATGATCTGTTGTCGGGTAGGACTGTTTTAGACGGGGTGTTCAGGGAAGCCCTCACTTAGGCAAGGTTTAAATGCAGTGACCAAGTTAGCCATGCCCACTTCCTGGGAAAGAATCTGTCTGGCAAGAGAACAGTATGTAGAGAGACAGGATTGTACTGGGTGCTTAAAGAAAAGAAGGGAAGCCAGTGTGGCTAAACGAGAAGAAGCACAGACAACAGAGTTAAGGAAACAAGGTCTGAGAAGACAGGTAATGCAGAGAACATTAGAAGTATGCTATAGCAATTCAGAGAGAGGCGACAGTGTTTCAGACCAGGGTAAGAGAAATGGGGGTGGCAAGGAGGACTTGGAATTTGGATATATTTTTAGACAGAGGCAATAAGATTTGCTGATTGGATGTGGAATGAGAGTGGAATAGAGGATAGCTCTAGATGTTTTGGTTTAAAACAATTGAAGAGAAGGTTGCAGTGTGATGAGATGGGAAGACATCAAGAAAAACAGGCTTGCAGTAGAGGGAGATTGGGAAAACAGAGTTGTATGTGTCAGTGCCTCACCAACATAGAATAAATGAATGAAAAGCTTTCATATTTTCTTGTAGTTACTTTAGTAATCAGGATTCAATCAAGAAGGTGTGTTATGTGTTTTATGTACATGTACCAGCTCTCCACTAGGAATGTAAAAATTATGTACTGCATACAAGTACAAATTTTTAAAACTAGAAAAAAGTTCTAAAAAGAAAATATTTCAATAGAAGTCTAAATTTTAAGTCTAGTCATCCAAAATTCTCATAAATCTCTCCCCTTTACTTTCACCTATTGTTCCCCAATCTGTTCCTCCTTTAAAACGTCATCCCCCTTGTAAAAATGTGTGCCTTGCCTTATTATATTGACTACTTTATTTGTAAGTAGTCTCTCGTCAGCCTAAGAACCAGAAAAGCAAGACTGAGGCCTCTGCAATGAAACTCTTAGGCAATAAAGTTAATAGCCATTCATGACTACAACAGCAAAGGCAACATGTGCAGATAAGATTATTTTCCTCAGTGCTGACACGCCAGAGGACAGGGCACACCCCTCCTCCCCACCAGTGGGAAATGTCCTTTTTTTGTCTCACAAAAGCCTGTACCAACCTCCCAACCTTGGCTACTCCACTTACCCCTCGCCCTTCCCGTCAGACCCTTCATCTGTAAACTGGCTGTGAAGTGTAATGAATGATACCTATCTAGCGCCCACATAATCTGCCTGGTACAGCGAGAATACCAAAACGGTGGCGACTACGATTTTGCGGGGATAGATCTCTTCAGTGAGGGCACTGCTGTTCCCATGAAAATGCATACTTCAAACAAATGTGTGACTCAGAAGCATAGGGCGGGAGCCGCGAGGGAGTGGCCTGCGGGCTGGAGACCGGTGAGAGCGGACGCTGGGGAATGGAGGGGTTGCGGGGGCCTGAGAACAGCACAGAAGGGCAAAGTCTGTTCCCTGAACAAATTTCAGCATGGGTATCGGCGTAGACAACCCATGCTTCCCAAGCCTGCAGGTCCCGCCAGCGTCCAGCGATGGAGACCCTTCCACCCAGGAGCAGCCAGAAGGGGGCCTCAGCTCCTTTGCCATTCCACTAACTTCCCGCGTTGCCTCGGCGACCTCCGGGCTCTCACAGACGCTGTTCTCCTGTGAGTCTGTCTGCGGGACTCCAGCCTGAGTCCGGCCTCCGCAGTCTCCGCTCCAGCCATGTCGGCGACCCGAGGCTGCCGCCCAGGCTCCAGCTCCACCAGCCCTGGTTTCCACCCAGGGCGGCGGGGGCGTGGCTGTCGCGGAGGCCCCGCCCCATCGTCCCCATTGGCAGAGGCTTCCGGGGGCGGGGTCGGCGCGCCTGCCGCGGACCCCGCGGCTCGGCCCGGCGCGGGTCCATGGAGGCTCCAGGTCCAGGCGGATGAGGAGCCGGCGCTGCGCCCCTTGCCGGGCCATGGCGGGACAGGTGAGGCTGCCGCCCGGAGAGCCCTGCCGAGAAGGTGAGTCCAGCGCGAGCCGGGAGGGACCTGGCATCGCCTGGCGGCGGAAGGCCAGGAGTGCGGACCCAGAACACCGACCCTGCCGCGGGGGCTCAGGTCACGAAGGGTCACTGAGCCCCTCGCCCGCCGTCCTGCAGCCGATCCACACATGTTCCGGGCTCTGCGGGACCTGCGTGGAATGAGACGGACGAGACTCGCCCTCGGTCCCCGAAGTCCCGTGTAACCACAGCGTGCTGGGTCTGTGACGGCGAGACTCAGGACGCGGTGGGGAGACCCGAGAGTCCCACTGAGCGGCTCGTGGGCACGGGGCGCGGCTGGGGACCCGCGGTGGCTCCGCCGGGGTTCCACGAGGCGTGACTGCTCAGTCGCTTCCCGGCCAGAGAGCAGACGGGGAGCCGAGGACACGCTTTGCTTGTGTGGACGCTTACCACCGCTTGCGGGGCTGGGCTTCGTGCTCGCCCGAGCCTGTGAAATCTCTTGAGTCCGTCTCTTGTTCCTTGCCCGAGGTCCACAGCGCTACCAGGTTGTATACAGTCCCCACACGAAGGCGCCTGGCTCAAAACACAAACTGGGGGAGGCAGCGCGGGAAAGGTGTGTGTTAACTAACGTGATGCTTTTCCCGGTGGTCAAGCCCATTTCTGATTTACCTGTAAGGACCAAGAGGGCAGTGAGCAGCGAGGTAAAATATGCCTCTGCAAAGTTTCCAGCAACTTCTTGGATTTCTATTCTTGGCTCTTTCAGCTTATTCCTTGAGGGGGAAAGTTCAAAAAAAAAAGGGCCAGCGAACTCGTTAAAAGCATTATAAAACTGTGCTGGTGGAAAGGTTCACACACACACACACACACACACACACACACACACAAAGGAAACCTTCCTACACAATTCACAAACTATTCAAAACTTGGTGGTTACTAAGACAACTGGTTTAGAATTATTTCCTAGACAGTCAGGTAGTGTGTCCTTTTAAAAGTAATTCTTAAGCCAGTAAATCAGACTGTTACTAATACATCCACCCTTGTTTACTCAAGGATCTGTGAGCAAGGTGTGTGAATTACACCAACACTGTTGAACTTCGGATGTGTTTCCTGTTTTGCTCTTGCAAAACAGTTCCACTAAGAAATAGTCAAGCTCAGTCCTTAAACCTGTGACTAACTGATTACTTATGTGGAAAGCCCAGTGGGAAAAACTGAAGAGAAATTATAATCTACGTGTTCTGTAACAGGAGAAGATTAGGATTTGGCATCACTCTTCCTAGTTCCAGTTCAGCCTCCTTTAGCTTTTCTGCATCTATAAAATGGGAACAGTTCCTACTGTTTAAGGCTTTGAGGGATAGGGGCAGAGGAAATTACATATGAAACACACAGCTAAGTACCGAACACAGTGTAAACAAAGGCTCAGTTTTTCATTTATTCTTTCATTCCAATAACAAAGAAAGAGTCCTGTGAACCAGGCACTGGCCCAGGAGCTGGGAGAGATGGTTTTGGAAGACAGTTCTGTCCTATACTCTAGGAGTAGGTCTTTGTTCTCATGCAGCTTACTGCCCAGATGGCAGAAAATATGCAAGAAGCAAGTCAATTTAAAAGATCATTACAGTAATGGTGTCACAGGTAAGTAGTGAAGGTGTTGAGAATACTTAGATTGGTACTCAAAGAAAGCCACTTAGAGAATGTGATGTTCTAGCTGAGACCAAAGTGACAAGGAGTCAGTCATGAGACCTGAGAATGAGTGCTCCAGTTGGAATTTTGAATCTTATATTTAATTCTGACTCTTAAAACTATGGATGCATTAAAAGACCTTCTATTCCAAAATTATCTCAAAAAATTTAAACACACATGAAGGTTTTTTTAAAAAAATTTAGGTTTTCAATATTATTGTATGTATTCTCAGATCTCACACTGAGTCTAACAGCCCATAGGACTGCATTAACAAGAAAATATGACACAATGAAATTACAATGTAAGCAATATAACCATCACCTGTGAAGCTGAATGAAGATTTTTTTTGTCAGGGGTAATAGAAGGTTAGGAAGGAGACTAGGGACAGAAAGACTGAGCTGCAAAATGGACGTGTGTTCTGGTGTGTCTTAAGAGTTCTGACCTAGTTTCAGGTTGAGCAGAGCAAGCTGGAGGTGAAGAATCCAATTTTTCAAGGTTTTCTTTGGTGGGATGGGTGCTCCGTCAGCCAGCAGACAGCATTATTTAGTTGGTATTTAGAGCTGATTTAATCTGTCTTCCTAACTAAACTATCATGGTTTTGAGAAGAAGAAAGTAAAAATTGGCCGAACCTTTGTTTTATTGATTATCCACATATAAAATCTTAACATTTCAAAACAGGCTTACAAGAAATGTACCAGGTTATCTCCACACGTAATTAAATTCTGTGTTATTAGAAAAATATCGCCATTTTACAGATACAGAAACTGAAGCCAGAGTGTTGAATATCATTTCATAATTAGTGATAGAACCAAGCACAAAATTATTTGGGCCGTTATTTCTCCTGTAGATAGATGCCTGCGATGGACTGAATGGTTTTGTCCTTCCCAAATACATCTGTTGAAGCTCTGTTCCCAGTGTGATGGTATTTGGGGGTGGGGCTTTTGAGAAATAACTAGGTCATGAGCGTGGAGCTCACTTGAAGGGACTACAGATTGAGAAACTCTTATCCAAAATGCTTGGGACCAGAAGAGTTTCAGATTTCAGAGTGTGAGGGATTTGGAAGTATTTACATATACGTAAGGAGTTATCTTGGGGATGAGACCCATGTCTAAAGAAGTTCATGTATGTTTTACATACACTTTTACATATTGTCTCAAGGTAGTTTCATATAACATTTAAAATAGCTATACATAAAACTAAATTTCATAGTGTGGGATTTATGATATCAGACGTTTCCCCTGGTGCTTAGAAAGTTCCCAGTTTTGCTTCATTTTAGCTATCTGGATGAGGGATAGTCAACCCGTTGTGCCTTAAAGAAAGAGGCCACAGAGCTAAATGTCTAGTTTTCTTCTCACCATGTAAAGACACAGGAAGCAAGATCTTCCACCAGGACCCCACCCTGTAGGCACCCTGATCTCAGACTTGCAGCCTCTCAACCATGAGGAATAACTGATGTTGAATTTTCCCAAATAGTAGTTTTTTGTTATAACAGCCAGAATGGAGACTGTGCCCGAACCCATTTTCTGGCCTCTGGGATGCAATAGTATGTATACCTACAGGATACTGAGATTTTATTCTTTTAAAAAATCCCTATCAGAGATGTTTTTAAAGTCTCACAAAATGAACACAACTTCTATCATCAGGGAGGCTGCATTTTCTGTTAACATATAGCTGCCAATCTGACACACTAAAATGTTTCCTCCTGATTTTTACAAGAAAATTAAAAGCACAAATCATTTATCCAGCTTCAAAGGTTTCCTTAGTGCTAAAATGAAGTGCTAAAGACTAATAAAAATCTCCACTAAAAAGTTATATAGAAAACAATATATTAATTGCTGAATCCATTATTTAATATAAACTATACAAACCTGTTTTGAAAAACCTTGATATAAATGCAAGCATATTGCAGTATTCCTTAAATTCCTTTCCTGCATCTTCAATTCTTAAATTCCTTTTTTGAAAAATTTGGAGAGGGTTTTATCTCCAATAATTTAATGCATTAGTAATAGATTGTAAAGTATGGAAGCAGCAGCATTTCATGGAGGAAATCAGCGGGGCAGCAGTCCTTTTTGAGTACTTGGCTCTCTTTTGACTGGGGGAGATCTGATTTAGAGATAGTGTTTTAATTATTTAAAAAATCAACAGTATCTACTCAGTCTTATTTTGATTAATTGAAATAATGGGCATTTTACCCAGTCACAGCAGAGTTTATATGCAGATATTTCTCTATGACTTCATACGCAAATTTGCTCTAAGTTATTTCTCATTCTGTTTCACACTGACTCTGAATTAGTTTCTATCCTTATTTTGCTGCAAGAGAATCTAAGTGATTTGTCTTCCAATTCTGCTCCCCTTCTTCCAGTTTTGCTTTTTCTCTTACTAAAAACTATCAGTTTCATAAGAACAGAGCCCCGATCACCTGTCTTGTTCGTTATTCTCTCACCAATTCTTAGAACAGGATTGTCAGTAAGAATTGGCTAGGAGCTGAACAAACAAATCTCTGATTGTGGGGTAAGTGTTCAAAAGCTACTTTGAGCAAATCAGTGAAATAAATATATGTGTATAGCTAAGCTGTAAAATGAATTGTGTTTGATTGGGAATGGGAAATTAGGTGATTTGATGGGCAGTAATTGAGAGGTTCCTTTAGATAAGAATGCCAAGAAGGTCTTTCTAAAAAAAGTGACATTTTTGTGAGAGTTCTACCACTCAGCTATACCTCCAGCCCAGGAAGTGACATGTCAACACTAAGAAGGCTTAAAAAACTACAGTCTAAGCGAGAAGGAACTTAGCCTATTCAGGAACAGACGAAAAGAACAGAAGTAAAAAGGAAATTAGACACATAGAGGGGTGAAAAGGGAAGCTGGTATAGAATTCTGAAAGGAAAAATGAGAAGATAGGACCTGCTTTTGTAAAGGTACTTAATCTGGCCCTGCCCCTGCTCCTCTTTGACCATGTGTCACACCTCTCCTTCTGCTGCCCTGATTCCTCTAACTCCTGGCTGATCACAGCCCCTTTCACCCCTCAATCACATCCTGCCTTGGGGCTTTTGCTTTCAAACTTAGTAGAGAGGCTTTTCTATTTAATTCTAGGTAGTTATTTGTTCATTTTTTCTGTCCCTCTCTGCTAGATTATAAGAAAGCAGGAATTTTGTTGTATCTGTTGTATCCTCAGCTTCTAAAAACTGCATGACAGATTGCAGGCACTCAGTGTTTTCATTAGATGAGTGAGAAGATGATTAATTTTAGGGATGGGCGAGAGGGAACAGAAGGCAATATAATGTCAGAGATGAGCACATTTCTCAGCATGGAAAGTTTTGAAATTGAAGGTTAGCCGGGAACTGTGGTT